CTATATGAAAAGCCAAGCTTGACTCGCATCTGAATTTGAATGTGCGAGTTGACAGAAAAAAACCCAGAATTTTACGTGAGCGCATTTGATATGGAAGACAATACAGGCAGTACCCAGTTATACCATTTTTTCAGTCACTTTCAGAGTCAAGCCACACTTTAAAAACAGAACTATTTCTGAGGGAACATGTCTCATTTTTACTCAGAAATGGCTGTGTTTTTGAGAGGCAATTTTTTAGGTATTATGCAAGTTGTAATGAAATACCAACATTTCAAATATCTGTCTGGTTATGCCTCATGAAAAATATGTTGCACAGCCCTAAAAGTGAACAACAAATCACTCATAGTCAACACAGTAAATCAAGCCATGCAGTTCAGGAACCAGCATTTTGCTCCCCAAAGCCTTAAAGCTACAGCACACTGCATATTCAGACTTTTATAGAAGATGCGTGGGGGGAAAAAAATCTTTCAAAGAGAAATAATCCAAAATGCTGTGAAGGAGAGGCATTTGTGGAACAGAATTTCTGTATTTCTTTTCTTCTTTATATCTGTATAAAGTTTGTGGGAGAATTCCTCAAGCGCTTCATTTTCATTTACTTTTTAAGACACTAACTATAAAAAAAAAAAGTTGGGTGTATCTCCATGTCTCACTGACTTCAGAAATTACACCAGCAATTAATTTCATCCAGAATATTCAAAGTTGAAGATCATTTTTACAGTCAAATCAGTGTATTTGCAGAATTTCAATGAGGGACCAAGAGCAGGCATATCTTACAGACAATCATATATCTTGGAATAAATGTCATATTAAGTCCTTGCATAAGGTCAGAAGAGCTGAAAATTCCAGAGTTTGCACTTATAGCTTCTGCTGGCAATAGCACATAAAAAGATGAAAATCATTAACTGTTGATATATTTCCACCCTTGCATTAGGAATATATTGAACTTTTGGTATGACATTTTATTCAAATAATGGGAAATGTCAATGGAGCAAAACTTTGTCAAATGAGAAAGCCAAGACATTTGTTTTCAAAGCAGGAGGGAATGATTTCATGACAGTGGGGGAGGGGAGACTGCCACTGACTTGTAATTCTGATACCAAATGAATGACAGAGAAGCAGTAATTTTATCTGATAGATTTTTTTGAGCAGTAATCACAGTTACATACTGGCCCATTATGATATAAGTCGATTCTTGTGGGCTTGAAGAACAAATTTGTGTGCTTCAGTCATCCAGAGTAGAATGAATACATTAAAGTACAAGTTTTTGTTTTTTAAAAAAAATACACTGGATTTTTTATGAACTGTCTGATTTATGAACAGAAGGGTTTATTTTTAAATGATTTGAATCAGTAAATAATGGTCAGCCATTCTACCATGGGACTGGCAAGCACAAATTTCATTTGGTATAAAACATCTACTAATGATTTTAATATATAGCTGTTTCAAATGACAGCCTCTCCAAAGAAATGCAGAAAGCTTTAGTATGGTATGTGAGCCAAAAGATAAAGTGCATCCTTGGATTTTAAATAGAAGAAACAAGGAGTTTAAAAGAAATGTTAATAGTTTTAGAACACATCAAAGGGGATAATAACTAATTATTCTTTCTGGGTCAATATTATTATAGTTCAGGGTTCTGATATCAGTTACACCAGAGTAAATATGAAGTAACTCCATATTAATTTACACTGGTTCATTCGAGATCAGGACCACTGTTTCCTTTTGCTTTAGCTCTGTAGAGCACCATCACTGCATAGCATGTTTTAGGAATTTGCAGGTAGTAGTTTCTCACAGACCTCATAAGCACGGTCCAAAAGATGCACTTTCTCTAACTCACTTGAACTCTGTCATATTACAAAGGCTTTTCTAAAGAGAACAGTTTTATTCTTAAAGAATATAGACTGTAATTGTTGTTTGCTGCAAACATTTACTAGTGCCTTATTCATAGACAAGGTTTTATTTAATTGTTTCTTTTGTGAAGCCCTGCTAAAATTGTGTGCTTAATACTGAAGCATAAAAACAGCTTGCTAAAAAAGATGAAAGATCTATGTATTGTCAATGTTTATAATTCAGTACATAGTGCTAGAGTCACAAAAAGACAAAACTGTCATCAAGAGCTGGACCCAAATCAAAGTCTTGTATATTAACACACTTCAACTTTGGGGTGTTTGAAATGGCAACTCAGCTTTGAATGTAAATTTCACAAATTGCCCCATCTTTGTTATGAGATGATGATGCAAATCTCAAATCAAAATATTCCTGACTTTTAGGGTATTCCTCCAATACTAGACTCCAATCAGAAGCCACAATACCAGGACAATTTCTTCAAGCTTGTGGGAGAAGCAAATCCACACACATAGACAGCTACTTTGCACATTAGTTTGCAGTGGTGTAGCCATGTTGGTCCCAGGATATTAGAGAAACAAATGGTGGATAAAGACCAACTTCTATTGATGAAAGAGACCATTAAAGAAGAAATGGGCAGTTAATACCTCTACTATCATAGGACAAAGAAAGGTTAGTGGATTACAGATAGTTGTAATAAACCATAAATCCAGTGTCTTCCCTGAATCCCTCCATGAATGATCTCTTGTTACTTGGGTTAACTGTGAAAGGATCTGTTCCCCCTGGTATTTAGCTGTGAGTGCCTTTCTCAAACCTGAGGAAGAGCTCTGTGGCTCAAAAGCTTCTCTCTCACCAATAGAAATTGGTCCAATAAAAGATAATACCTCACCCATCTTGTCTCTATAACATCCTGCATTGGAACTTAATGATCTGGCTGGTCACAGCCCTTTTCTGTCTCCAGTACACACTGTTTTCTGTTTTTTTACTTAAAGCAAATGGGATTATATAGGAGGGAGACAGGGTGCACATAAATCTTAAGAATCCAGTGGAACATGAGGAAGTTTCCATGGCTACTCTTCGTGCCTGCTTCTATACAAGTCCCATGCAGCTACAATGGGTATCTTTGCTTGTTTCCTACCAAGATCAGGCCCAAAGTTTGTCTGAAATGTTTTACAAGAAGTGCATGTTTGACCATATTATCCTCAAAGAGGGTCATTTTTGGGCCCAGTATCATCAATAATACAGGGTCCAAAATCACGTTCCCAAAATCACATTCCAATTAAAGTCCTTCTGTATGACAGGCCCAAAGTATGAGTCTGAGAAACAAGTTGGAAATTTTAAAATCCTCATTTTGAAATCTAACCATTTTCTGCATTCCTAACGTACATATAACCTCTGTTAATGTCAATGGGATTTTTGCATACATAAAAACTGCAGGAATTGGCACTAATTGGAATTTTCTTGCCATTTAGCCCTAATTAAAGAAGGAATCCAGACTTAAGACTTCTACTTTTTTGTGACTGTAGTGCATACTTCCTCAAATAGAGCTGCCTTTCTCAATACAGTAGGAAGACATCAGCTGGCTATTCTAGTTCTTCAAACTGAAGTCCATGATAAATGTCCTCTTGAGCAATGTTTAATTTACTTTTATCTGCTCCTGACTTGCAATAGCCTTATGTAGGGAATAATTTATCTTAAATCCCATGGACTTTATAATTAATACAGCTATTTCATTATAGCCTAAGATGTACTGATAAAAAACATATATTTTCAGATGCTAATTTTTATCACTGTATTTTGTTTCTTCCTTTCCTTACCTTTGCCTATAACTTTGATTTATTTAATCATTATTGCTCTGTTCATTTGAATTTATGTAAAAGTTGAACAAATCTTGGATACAATTGAAATTCAGAGCCTGGCCTCCTGAGTACCTCAGTACCCTTATTCAACTTTTCATCCTAGAATGGTTTTTGTTACAGTACCTACACTGATATTGTACAGTGGTTTCTAACATTTGACTTTATGTTGTATGTTAATTATTGCTGTGTAGTACATACAGATTTTACACTCTCAGATCTGGTTGCTTTTGCATCATCACCTTGCACATATGCCTTACAAGCTTGCCAGACTAGCATGAGAAAAAAAAACTTTTCAAAACAGAGTTTAGACAAGTATAGAAAAATCTCATAGTATTTAATTATGCTGCATGGAAGTTTGATGTTTTTCAAACTAATGGCAACATGCTATTATGCTATACAATGAAACTTGTGCCATGGTCAATTGCAGCAGATGAACCCCTATCTTAAATGCCCACATTCGGTATCCCAGAGTTTTAGAGAAAATTTAGAAAAATTTTCTTCCAAGATCATTTAGAGCGTGATCCAAAGACCATGAAAGTCAGTGGGAGTTTTATCATTGACTGAAATGATCTTTGGATCAATCTAAAGACTACATGCAGGGGGAGGCTGCCAGTTGTTCCCTAAAATGGATTTCAGTCCACCCCTTAGCTCAGATTTTGATGTAAGATGCATTCTGTCCTGCAGGTACATGGACTACAGATGCATTGAAACACTTGGGTTACATTTAGCCTAACGTTCAAAATAAAAATAGCAGGGAAAGTTTAATGTTGTTTATTTTTCAATGCCATCTTGAATCTGGTTCAAAACACTTTTGATTGTGATTAAGCAAATGCAACTTCATTATACTCCATGGAATTCAGTTCTGTTAAGTGCAATTTGAAAATTAATTGTTGGCCTAAGTGACTGTCAAAAGCTGTCAGAAGGTAAGTTTTACCCCAACCGGTGTTAGGGGAAATTGGTATTTATCCTAAAAATTAAAAAATATGAAGCTCACTTTGAAGATGGCATTTTCTGAGGCATTCAGAATGTGAGGCAACTTCTCAGCTGACTTTGTGGGGCTTGCTTTCAGTGACTGACTAACAAATCATAAAACAGTTTAATATGCATTTCTATGCTTAGGTATCAGTTTTGTAAGTGGGAAATAACCTAGCTTTTGTTTTTAAATGCAATTGTACTTGAAGATCTTTTGCAGATTTTAAGAAATGTGACAGAAAATCAATGTGCCCATAGAGATATCATTTTTTTTTCCAGTGGGTGCTTCCCACTTCTTGCCACCAAAATTCTCTCTCATCCCTTCAGCTCCTAGAGATCTTCAGGGTTCTGTAGCTCACTTCCCGGCTCCTGATGTCATAGTTAATAATCTACTGTCAGAAGAGAAGAGAAAGCACATGACATCCCAACCCTCTCTACCTGCCAAGGCACCAACACGTGACAGAGATCCAAACTGGTGGGGAGGGGTGACAACTTATTATTCAAAGAATTGGAATCATGTGATGTCCCATCCTTTCGTATAAATCTCTTGTCTTCCTGGGACCTGACTCTTGTGATTCTTCTTGTACTGTAGAAAATGATTTACATCAGAAATTAGCACACCAAATGTGTGAAGAGTAGTTAATTCTGGGACAAAAGGAGGGGTTTTTGAGAGGTATGGTGCCACCATAATTCCTTTTTCCAGTATGAAATAGGGTGATGGTGGTTAGTGAGGAACAGAGCAAGATGGGAGGTGCACAGACCCTGCACTCCCTTTTGGTTCCCAGTGGTGGCTCAAAGTGCTGCAGGAAGTGGTGGAAATGGATCAGAATCTCTGCTGGGGGAAGGAGGGCAGGAGAGCAAAGAACTCAGGCACCAAACACCTTTGAGGATTTGGGCTTAACTCCTGTTGATTTCAGTGGGTGCATAAATACCTTAAAAAGAAGCTGGTCCTAAGCACTGAAGTCCAGATTCTCAAAGCTAAACTGCAGAGCTTCTGCAGATCTTCTTTTCCCCCCTTCCCACCCTAGATGGCTGTCTCCTTTGTCTGCGAGGATGCCCTAGGTTCTTTGGGTTTAAGAAATTCCCAGAGTAGATGAGGTTTACCTTTACTGACCAAAAGAAGGTAATGCAGAGGGCAGTCTGGGCTCCCAGATCATTTAACATTAATATATATTTTAAATCAAGCTCAGGACTATCTGTGTGCTCATTTGCATCATCATTTAAAACAATGAGTTTTGGGAGGGAAGACCAGCTAACTTTTGCAGGTGAACGAAATGTTAATTTTTCAGGTAGAAATGGCAGCTATAACATTTATCTGTAAAGCTATAGGGGAAGATGTCTGACCCTAAAGAAGGTTTGTAACTATTAGAGGGGTGAGATTCTGGAACTGTCTTCTAATAGCAATTGTGTTTGGAAAACAACCTAACTAGTTTTAAGAGCAAGCAGGACAAATTTATGAGAGGGGTGGTATGATGAACCACTTAAAGTGTAAGGGTAGGGCACAGCAGTCCTGGAAATTCCTTCTGGATTATGTCTTGAAGCACGAGCTTTAGTAATTTAAGGCATAAAATAGTCAGTTGTAGGGGTCAGAAAGGGATTTCTCTCCTCCCCCCTCCTCCACACACACTTATACACAATGTGGTCAGGGGGTTCTTTTGGTCTCCTTCCTCTGAACAATCAGAGATGATCTCAGCTGGTGATGGGACGTTGGACAGGACAGGGTAGGGCTCTGAAGTGGCAGCAAGTTCTCTCTCAGGGCCTTGTTCTTGCTCATATGCTCAGGTCTGATTGCCATATATGAAGTCAGGAAAGGACTTTCTCCCAGGTAGGTTGGCCATGACCTGGGAGTTTTTAACCTTCCTTTTCAGTGTGTGGGTGCAATTTTCTTGTCAAGAGCCTCTTACTATGTGTTCATCATATCCCTGCCACCGCAGGGGCCTCGAGCACTGGTGCACTTCAGTCCCTCGTAGTCTCTCCTTGTGGCAAATAGCAGTCTAGCCTCCTGTGAGGTGTCATTCTTTGGTTTAATTTTGGTTGCTGGGTTTAGTGTGTGGGTTCTAGGTGGTGCTGATGGCCCATAGAAGGACACACTAGATGACTTGGTCACTCTTTCTGACCGTAAATTCTATGAACTGCTTCTTGGTAAGGTCATTGAGGTGCAGGAGGCAGGGAGTGAACTGCAAGCTGCTGTATGTTGTACAAAGCTGGTCATGGTACTGAAAGTTTTATGTGCCCAAGTGCCTATCTGAGATTCCAAATGTGGTGCGTGCGCAGACACGCGCATGCTGGAAGTGTGAAAAATAGGGACATCCCTGTCCATTGGTTAACATGTGGATGCCACCAATCAGTAATGACTTACAGCCTAATTGCCTTGTCATTAAATCAGCCAGTCAATGGGAAAAATATTCAACATGCCCAGACAAAAATTTGTTGGGCGCTAGAGTGATGCCAGGGATCGAGGCCATATCTACCCCCCAGCACTCAAAATCTCACGTTTTTCAAGCCAAAGGTCAGTGATTCTCCCTATAAACTAAACATTGCTGATAGAAGACATACTATTTGACATTTCTTTTACTGGAGAGAGAACAGCAACCAGTGTCTGTTGTACCTCCTCAGCATTCTCCCAGCTAAATGACAATGTGTGTTACTTTTGCTACACATATAGCTTCAAAATAATAGGCATCCGTTGTGAATTTTACTGGGCAATAATGATATGTACTGTATAAATAAACCTACTACTCCACCTGCTACCATGGACTAGTATATCATATAGTAAATTTGTCTAAACTTATTTTGAAAACTGCATGGCTAGCTTATGCAGTAGCTAGATATGTGACAAGGCTGCAATGTTAATCTCTAAGGAGAATACAGTAAATATGCTTAAATATTTTATTTACTTAATTGAAGCATTTTGTAGTCTCCAAGCTCTACTTGTGAGAAGGAATAACTTCTCATTGTCTCTCTTACTCGAAAATTAATATCCATTGCACATATTTACAGACACACATAACATATAGATAGTGGCATAGCTTAGGCCTGTTGTATAGGTCAATATCTACAACATACACGTGAGAATATAAAATTTTGCCACTGCAAAAGAGAGTAGTTGCAAAGTCTATTTTGGATTACCAATTTATATTTGAGGAAACTAATGTGTAGTCATTTCTAGAAACTATGAACACACGGCAATTGCTGCATGCTTGTATATTTAATAAGTTTTATTATTCTATACCCTTATACAAATGCCTATGCAGTGTAAATGCTTTAACATGAGAATACTTAGAAAATAAAACATAATGTTTTTTTAAGAATGCTACATCTTATTGCATGGTTTAACCATTGTTATTTTTGTGTTTGTATAAAGTGTAGTCAAGAAAACACATGATTTTAATAACTTATTATACATAAGAACATGTTCTTAATGAATCTAAGCAATTATTGTATACATTTTTAAACCTGGCAAGAAATGTGCTTCCTTCAAACAATGGGCTTGGTTCACAGCAATACCTGTGTTATTAGTGTTTGTATTTGTAACACAATTGAATCTGTCAATGGGGCAAAACAACTCGTGGAAAACCACTATGTCAGTCAGTACTGGTTTTGTTTAAGAAAATGATATTATTTCTACTGTAGTAGACAAGACCTATCCTAACCCAGTTTTAGCAGAACAACATAAAGTAGAACATTATTATTTAGAGTCCAAAACTGAGGAGTGTTATGTTTGATTCAGCAGGCTGAAGGGTAGTGCAGCATTTTTTTTATTTTTTTTACAATTTTGTTTGTAGTCTTAATACAATGAATTGGTGTTATCTAATTGTGAACTTGGCCCATTGTTTACATCATTACTGAATGTCACCAACGTTCAGCACACCTGGTTGACTTGAGCTGATGTGCTAACTTGGAAGAAAAAAAAGGATTTTTTTTTACAGAAGAACTCTGCTGCTGCAGCGTACATTTGGAGCCCGAAGACATTACTAAGTGACTGAGCAGGCCACGGTATTGTTTGAAAGCGGGCCATGCTGCAAACTAAGTTGCCAATGATATAACACTAAATCAAATAGAAATCCACATTGCTTTAAATAATTGTAAATATTAATTTTTAATGCAGGGGTATCATATCCAGCAATTTTTCACTGCTTTGATATCCAAGGATTCCTCATATTACATGGAATGTATTTCACCTGCTTTTTTTAGAATCAAATGTTTCCATTCAAAGCAAAATAGCTACTATTTCTTTGTATTGCACTGAAATAAAATAACCCTGTTTCAGTACATTATGCCTCCCTGTTCTTTTCCAAGTTACTGGAGCTGGGCCTTACTTAACCTAGGTTGGATTCACGTATCGTCTTAGTCTTGTGGTTTCCAGTCATTGGTTCACATTCCAGTTCTGCTAGAGCCAATATTTGTGACTGCTACTGGGATCTTTCCCTCTGTATGTTGGGGTCCAGTTCAGTCTCCCATGCTCACAATGAGTGTAGTAAGGTCATTTTACTGCAGTGAGTATTCTCTGTTGTGAGGATTTCCAGGGGTCCAGTTTTCAACTGAACACCCAATGAAAATTAGGCCCTCCCCAGCCTGGGGAAAATGAGCGGGGTCAGGGAGGATGGAAGAGAGCGACCGACAGAGGGAAGGGGAATGGAGTGAGCGGGATGGGGTTTTGGAGAAGGGGGGAGAGCAAGGTGGTTTGGTTTTGTTCATTCAGAAAGTGAGCAGTCTCAATGAAACCAGTGAGAGCAAAGGTGACAGACTCCAACCCTTTATGATACATCACATACAGCCTGGCTATGCCACTATTACCTTCTCCCCACCCAGCGCACTCTGGCTCACAAATAAGCTAGGGATTCTCTGAGTCTGTCTGCCCTGCCTAGAGAGGACCTGCTTTTGGAAGAGGAAAGGTTCCGTCCCCAGCTGGCTGTGTACTACTTCTAGAAGAAAGCTCATAATTCCAAAGAGAAATCATTAGGAAAAAGAAAGGAAAGAGGGGTTCTTAGATTTTTAAGGCCAGCAGAGCCCCTCCTGCATAACACATGCCAAAAAGAAACCCCTCCCCAGGTAATTACCGCACCCTGCTGATCATTTCTGTTTGAGCTATCACATCTTTTAGAAAGAGCACAACAGACAAAACAAATCATGTGTGAGTAGAGTTTGTGATTAAAAACTGCAGCATCCTCTGCCACAGTCTTGTCAATTAACAAATCAAATGGGCTGTGTCCAGACTCGAGGTTTTTTTTTGAAAAAAGTAGACTTTTTTTGAAAAAACTTCCCCTGCGTCTAGACTACAGCCGCGTTCTTTCAAAATTAAATCAAAAGAACGCGGCTTTTCTTTCGATGGCAGAAAACCTCATTTCACAAGGAAGAATGCCTTTTTTCGAAAGTGCTCTTCTTCGAAAGAGAGCATCCAGACTGCCTGGGTGCTCTCTTTCGAAAAAGTGGCTTGCTTTTTCGAAAGAACTACTTGCAGTCTAGACGCTCTTTTTCGAAAGAGGCTTTTTTGAAAGTATCTTTCGAAAAAGCCTCTTTCGAAAGAGGCTTGCAGTCTAGACGTAGCCATGGAGAATATAAGAATGGCCACACTGGATCAGACCAAAGGTCCACCTAGCCCAGTATCCTGTCTGCCGACAGTGGCCAATGCCGGGTACCCCAGAGGGCAGAACAGAATGAACAGAACGGACAATCATGAAGTGACACATCCTGTTGCCCATTCCCAGCTTCTGGTAAAAGAAGAAATGTCCACTTAGCAGAATGCCACAAGAAGGTGAAGGAGAGCATCCCAAGTTGAGGACTCAAATTGTTTGATGCCTGCCTCTCATGTATCCTGTCTAATCAGGTTTGTTCTGCATTTCTATATCCATAGAATTGTGTCTCTTGCACAAAGCAGCTCTCAAATAGACTTTTTCTATGGTCTGAGATTGCTCTGTACCTGAATCTTGCTTGCTTCCTGGCGTACAATTGAATGTACGTAGTCTCTGCTCCTGCTGTTTGTTAGATGCCTGAAACCAGGCTTCCAAACCAGTATGTATGTATCTATCTACCTACCTTTGGCTGCCTGTCTAAAACTTATTGTCAACAAACTCCATTCAAACATATGTAGCACTTTAAAGACTAACAAGACAGTTTATTAGGTGATGAGCTTTCATGGGCCAGACCCACTTGTTCAGATCATATTCTGAAAGATAATTGGCATGACCATATATAACAAAGGAATACAATGAAGTGAACACATTATAAACTAACAAATAAGATTTTAGAACAGAAGGTTGTGCGAGGGAGAGGGAAGGAGGAAATAGCTTATTGTAAGTCAATGAGTGGCTAATGTGGAGTTACTAGGACTATCAATAGGTGGGAAGGCTGTCTTTGTAATGTGTAAGGTAATTAGCATCTTTATTAAGGCCCATTCATAACGTGTGGAATTTAAGCATGCATGAAACTTCTGAAGTTTCTCTCTCTAATCTGGTGTTAAAGTCTCTTTGAAGTAACAAAATACAGGACTATGTAGCACTTTAAAGACTAACAAGATGGTTTATTAGATGATGAGCTTTCGTGGGCCAGATCCACTTCCTCAGCTCAAATAGTGGAAGAAAATAGTCACAACCATATATACCAAAGGATACAATTAAAAAAATGAACACATATGAAAATGACAAATCAAATTTCAGAACAGAAGGGGGGGGCGGGGTGAAGGTAAATGTCTGTGAGCTAATGGTATTAGAGGTGATAATTGGGGAAGCTATCTTTGTAATGGGTAAGATAGCTAGAGTCCTTGTTGAGATCCACGCGTAGAGTGTCGAATTTTAGCATGAATGACAGTTCAGAGGATTCCCTTTCAAGTGCAGATTTAAAAGGCTTCTGAAGCAGGAAGCAGGTAATTAAGTTGTTGAGATGGTGTCCTTTCTGGTTGAAATGGCAAGAAACTGTTTTTTCTTTGTGATCCTGTCTAATATCTGTTTTGTGGGCATTGATTCTTTGGCGAAGTGTCTGAGACGTTTGTCCAATGTACAAAGCAGACGGACACTTTCGGCACATGATAGCATAAACTATCTTGTTAGTCTTTAAAGTGCTTTGTATTTTTTCCTTTTGTTCTACCAAGATCAGACTAACACGGCTACCTCTCTATTACTATTTCCATTCAAACATGAACTTTTCCAGCAGTAGTTCCATTAAATATTTCTGTGACCGAGAGATGGAGGATAGGATAGAGATGGGATGGTCCCCCAGCATGGTCTCTACCTTCCCCTTTGCCACCTTCTAATGCATTACCCCTCTCGCCCCCACTCTCCATAATCTTTCAGCAGTCCCTTCTAGCATCACATACTCCTCAAGAGCAATACAATCTTGTATGTTCTGCTAAAGGTGTTAACTGGTGTGTTTACTGAGTGGGAGCACTTCCATGGACCATATGGACCACTCCAAACTCAAGGCTGAGGGAAAACAACACTGTGGATTGTCTTGATAAGAGTGCTACCCTGGGTACACCAAAGGCCATTTGACCTTGTGATCATTTGGGAAGTCTATTTGTATAATTTAAGAATGATGTGAAAGATTCTGAATGTTCTGCATGTGTCATTCTGCAAACTCCATTTTGAGTGTGCTGCCCTTTGTCCACTCTATTGTCATTTTACCTCCATGTCACACTGAAATTCCCCCTGGTAGCAGCACAGAGGACTGAATATAGAGGGGCACTGATTTTGTACAATAGACCATCCAGAATTAAAGACCCTGCATAATAGGTTGACTCCCACCCGGGAGAACTGGTTTGTCATGGAAGAGGACAGCTGATGACAGTGTCAAATGGTAGAACTCTGTAATCACCTGCTAAGGCTGAGCTGGGAGTCTCCTGACTAAGGGTAAGTCTACACAGCAACATTATTTCTAAATAACTGGTGTTATTTCAAAATAATTTAGTCCATGTCTACAAAGCAAGCAGTTATTTCAAAATAATATTGAAATATGGTCAAGCCAGAGGACTTCTTTCTCCAACTCCTGTAACCCTCATTGTAGGAGGAGTAAGGCATGTCACAGGAAGATTGCGCTATTTCAAAATAAGTGCTATGTAGATGCTCCCTGTTTTGAAATAAGCTACGCAATTGACATATCTCAATTTGCTTAGCTTTTGAGTTAAGCCCTACTGTGTAGACACACCCTAAGGGACTAGAAAGTTATAAGAGGACTCACTGAGGAAGGTTCTGGGAGACGCACTGGAAGTTTTGACAGGAGAAGGGAACAGAAGGGATCAGTCATCAGAGGAGGCACGCTGAGGGAGAAAGTTCCATGTTTCAGAATCCAAGCCTTGTGAACATAAGGGTCCTCAAAACAATCAGAAACAATCAATGCACCAGACAGAGACCATACAGATAAGTAATAAAAAGTGGGAGCCATAATGACAAAACATTAAAGAAATGTGGATTTCACAACTCCCAAGTATTGACAAGTGGGTCCTTGCCAGACAGGCTGATAGCTAGTTTGTTGTTTTAACTTTGTTTTCATACTTTTCTATCTGAGACCTTGTTTTTAAGCTAAATAGCAGGGGCAACCACGACCTTGGAACTGTATAGCCATGTCTTCACACATCCCAATGCAATCATGTTGAAATAATGCAATGTTAGGCTGTTAGTCTCTAATTTAAAAAAAATATTCTAAGATCTTTGCTTTATCTGGAAGAGATAGAAAAGTGATCCAATTGAAGTTATTAAAAATACCTAAATTCTTATCATATTGGCCTTTACAACCAGGACTCAATATGTATATTTGAAAATATGGCCTTGTTTATTGCTATAATTTTCTCCTGAGCAAAATAAAATTTGGAAAAATAAATGTAAAATGAAACTTGTTTTCATATAGGCTCTGTACTGACTGGAATGCAATAGGGATACAAACCAGTGATTTTGGAACATTATTCTGACCTTTGTCACCAAAGTGCTGATGGATAACACCTACCTGTTGTTTAGGATAATGGAGAAAAGAACTGCATTTCTGCCAGCCCCATGGAAGTTTCATACCCCCATTTTGAATTTCTGGGCTGAAACAAGTCATTAATCTACTTTCCTATTGGTGTACATAATATTGCTTGAGATTATGCACTCATTTTGCTGGTTCATTGCTAATGGACATTCTCAAAGGTTTTTTTATATGCTCTTAGAAATGTCACGGCTTCTGGAGTAGAACTAGCTTAACAAGAGTTCATTGTGGAGGGCTTGTAAAAGTTTAGTGCATCTCTGCTCATGCAGAGCCAGTATAATAGTTTGATCAAAAAATGCT